GAGTTTCCCCTTTCTTCATTCTTAGATCTTTGAAGAAAAAAAAAGAACTATTGTTAATTGTTGGTCTTTAATTGGTTATTTGGTTTACAAATTTCCAGATTTAAATTCACACACTAATAAAATATTTTCTTCCTATACTCAATGAAGTGTTAGGAATGAGCTGGTAACGTACGTTATGGAGGGGGGGGGACATTTTAGCCTAATTCTTGAAATATACTATGGAGTAATATAAATTGGTACATCTACTCTTTTATGGTCTATAGTTGTTAAATAGAATAAGGATTTTTCGTTTAACTCCTTCCTTCAGAGATGATACATATTATGTAATTCTTTCTTCTCGATCTTTAAAGACAAAATAAGTTTTAAAGGGGGAAAAAAGGGGGAGGGGGAGGGAAGAATAAGTGAGTCAAAATGATAATCATTTTTTTTTTTTTTTTTGGAGGTCTGAATTCGGTTTAATCCTAGTATCCGGTGCACACGCGATTTGGCTACCTTTGGCGACTTTATGATGAGCAGTAAAAACGGGACATATACGATGAGTAGTAAACGGGTCATTCAAAAAATATACATAGTATATACTATGTATACAGTGATAGTATATAGTATATACATAGATGTTCTTTGGTTCATTTTTGGTGTTGGCAATAATTTTCAAAATCGCGCCAAGGCTGCACCGTATACTAGGATTTTACCCTGAATTCTTTTCTTATAATGTTGATCAAAAGGTGATTTACTGCTATAGCATCAATAAGCAAGAACTTACCACATATCTACTGCGTAAATACGCATATCACATCGCGGAAGTTATGTGATAGCCTTCTACATGGTACAGTGGTTAGGGGAGCCTCCTGCGATACCTAAGGGCCCGGGTTCGAATTCCGGAGAAAGCATTCATGTTTTGTAAATGTATAGTATCCTTGTGGCATGAGGGCACTCCAAATATATGGCGAGCGGAAAGTCCTCTCGTGTGGATTGGTGTAGGGAAGTGGGATGGGAAACCCTTGGACTAACTCCAGGGGTGCTCTCCCTCAAAACTGGGGTGGAAATAGAAGTCCAACCTCCTTTAGGCTCTGGTGGCCCACCAGCGGCCGAGTGGTAAAGACGCTGAACACTTGTAGTTCGGTCCGAGGTTCGAATCCCGCCAACGGGCTGGCTGTATGGGCGTTTTCGTGGTTTTCCCCATGTGTAACGTGTGTACGAGCCAGTTTCCCTTAGAAAGTCCTCCACGAAGGCATCCCTCCCTTTAGGCAGATAGCCCTCGTGTGCTTTGCCATAAATGAATAATCCAATTTAATCCTTTAGGCTCTGGCAACCATTCTGCCATGAAATTAATATACAAAACAATACAAATGATGTGATGGGGAAGGATTTATGTATTCGCGTTTTTCTGATTTGTCGCCTTTTGGTGTTTCGAATATTGACTTGCTTACTGAATATTCTACTCTCTAAATTAATTGCTAAGATTAAAAAAAAAAAAAAAATATTTTTTCCCGTTTTTTGATTTATTGTTTAACAACATCCGGTATGATTTAAAAAAAATTAAAATTGGCCACAAAGAGCATAAATTGCTTTCATACTCTTTATGCTCTTAAATTATAGATTCTAAAAGTACAAATTAATATTCTTGTCTTGGATTAGTTTTACAAGAGAGAAGATCGAGATGCATGTGCGTGTGTTTTCGTCATTTCCTTTAGTCAAACATAAATAAAAAATCTGATGTGTGCACCACATGACGTCCTTGTACGGAATATTAAATCAACCCATTTTGGTACTTTTCCGTTTCGCCGGCGCAAATCTCGCCAAGCAGACTTTATTGGCGACAACATACAGTATACACATAAAAAATATTAAAAAAATATTAGTTCTAAGAATTCTTTTAAAAAAAGAAGGCATAAACATTTTAATATCGCTTAAAGTTTTATAAAAAGCCAATAAATAAAGACAATAAATTTGTAAAAAGACATTAATTTAAGAATTTACTATGCTTTCATGGTTCAACATCCTGATTCGCCGGTTCATATCACGTGACCCCAAGCGATCTCATCTCACGTAAACTACTACAAAAATCTAATGCTCTCAGTAATTATCTACATTCATTTCAAGTTAAATCTTAATTTGGAACACAAGTTTAAATGCAAGAAATATTTCAATTCGTACGAATAGCTTACTCAGAAATTATGTAAAACTGCAGTGCTTTACTTCGCTAATGCATTCTCATTAGAATGGATGAATTTAACCCTTGACTTTACCTTTTCTATATTTTCGGCTTCAGATAAGCGCTGTCATTGCATCCCAATTGACTTAATTACCGAAAATGGCCTTAGACATAAACTGAACTATCTGATAAAAATTCTATGTATTTTATATGCCAGTATTGTAAGAAACAACCAGTCTGATAAGAAAAAGCTGCGACTTGTTTTGTAAATGATGCGTAAAAGGTTACCAGCGAGAATATTCTGTTTGGCATCAGTTGTACCATTATTGGCGACTTTATCGCTTGCGCCGGCAAAACGGAAAAGTACCCCCATTTTTTCTTGCATTTAATTTAAACTTATTGGATTGAATTAAATCTACTTCGTCGATAGCGCAGAAACCACAATAGAATAAATGCACTCTTTAAAATTCCCTCCATTTTTTTACTATAGCGACACTCTGGCCCTAGGTTCACGTAACAGCGTTACATTTCGTTCATTTTTTAACTCGGAATGCATAAAATGTATATCATCTTAAGAATTATCTAATCGTTGCCACATGTTCTATTCAAATACTATAATAAATCTAAAACTATGTATAAAAGAAATTAAGCAAAGAACAACAACAAGAAAAAAGGAAACAGTTTTTCACAGATGATTCAGTATTTCTCATTCAATTAATTCAGTTCTCACTTCGCGACATTCAATTTAATATTAATACATTAAAACTCAAGATGTCTGAATTGAAAATTATGAAGTAAATCTTAAACACTTATTTCCTCGAATAAATTCCAGAATGGATTAAGCATGATTTAATTCGCAATAATAAAAGAAAGCGTTGTCTTTGTTATTGCGAAGCTTACTTTCTCTAGATTTGCAAAAAATGTACTATTCTGCTGTTTCAAATGTAAACAATCAATGGCCGCCATAAAAAAGGCTTAGCGGCACTTAAACAACTTTAAAATTGTTGCTAATTCCAAACATATTGCATACAGATTTACTAAAGGCATAAAAACCTTAACCGGAAGATAAAAACATAATTCAATCATTTTTAAAGCAAAAAATGTACAATTTACAAACATATAAGAGTAAAGAAACTGAGATCACTGAGCCGAGTAACAGAGTGGATATATATATTTATATACTTTTGGTGCAACCAAAATACAAGGCATGTTATAGCAGTCCTATATACAAAATTTCAACGTTCTGAGGCTACTCGTTTTTGAGTTTTGCTAGATACATACGTACGTACGCACAGACGCCATGAAAAATTCTCATCAGAATTCACTTTAAATTAGTTTTACAATTTTTTCGGGGGGAAAAGTGTCCTTTATCCTGTCCTTACGTACAGATGTCACGCAAAAACATCGTTAAATTGCATTCGATTGCGGTCAAAATGGATATTTTCGTTGAAATATGCTGCCTGAAACTTTTCGTGATTACAATACTTCCTTTTTACTTGGTACAAGGAAGTAAAAACAGTTTTCTTCAAAACTTCTTCACCAAGGTATCCTTGCGAGACCCTCATATATGTGTTACCATAATCACAATCTGCATTAAGTTTTGAGCTGTTTGCAATATTTTCTGTTAAATTTCTTTTCTCTGGCAGGTATATATTTCCAAACGAAGAGGATATGGCAGAAAAGTTACGAGTAATCATGAACGTTTGTAAAATTATTAATCAGTATCAGATGAAAGCTATGGTGATTAAATACTTCTACGCAGTATACTGTTGAACAAAATAACTTGTTCAACAGTATACTGCGTAGAAGTAATTCAGACAGCTTGAATAATGCATTTAAAGAGCTTAGACAGCTTGCATAATGCATTCTATTACTTGTATTTTTGTAATGAGCCATATCGTTTCACTTAAGCTCAGCAGTACGCGAAACATCAAAGTTGGTGAGCTGATCTGGTTGTCTGAATAAATTTTTCCATCATGTTCATCGCAAATACAAACTAATGTTCTAACAGAACGTCCTTCATGAAGGCAGAATTAGTTAGATTGCCCTTGGGTTCTTCTAAATAATCAAGTAGATATAAAATCTTTTTTCTTTTCTTTTCGTAGTTTTCTGTAATTCTTAAATGAAAATAGTTTCTTTAAATTAGTTCTTTTAGTTAGAAGCAAAATAAATTGAATTCCTAAAACAAAATTTTGGAGGGTGCAGTAGCTTTCAAGTTTAAACAAAAATCTGCATATGCTTGTGTGCTTCGTCTTTTATATAATTTATTTAATAAGTTACATGTACTATAATTCAATTTACAGTTGTATTATAAACATACTTTATTATTTTACAAAAACCGAAAAACTGCAATATTCTTTTGTGAACTGAATAGTTAAACTTAACAGCCGACCTTTTTTTTCCCTTCTGTAGTAATTAAAAGAATTAAAGAGAAACTTTTTTTAGTTGTTAATAATTCTCTCCTCCCCCTCCCCCCCGCCTGATGTACCAATTAAAATCGTAAAAGAAGGGAGCAATAAGAAATTTACAATGTTTCAATTTAATGTCGTTAATTTTTCGCGAGATATACTTAAATTCCGTAACACGCTAAACCATATTTCTAAACGTTACGCAAAGTTGCTACAGCATGACATTGACCATATAGGGCTCCGTGGTAAAATGCTCTCATCATCCGTCTTTTGTTTTAAATATATATTTATTCAGCTTCGATTTAAGGTAAGAGTGAAATATTAAACACATTCTTTCCCATTTGGCTGCAATTTTGGCGACAGTGTGCCAAAGAGCCGGCCGGCATGCAGAATTCCGAATTCCAGTAGTCCTACCCATCATAACTGCTGTTGTAGCCGTCGGGAGCGGTCGGTGACTGAGAACGTAAAACTAGGTTCACTGAATCATAATTTTCATTTGTTCCACTAGCGTTAGTGTTATTCTCAAGCACGATCAACGACTGGATATTATTCGATCCGAACATTTGGAATAACTATCCATAAGACTTTTCGACCGAATTTTGATATTGTATTTACTCGAATTAAACAACTAAGGGAAAAAAGCGTGGTTATTCCTAGAGAAAACTTTGATATTTGACTATAAGAATTAATTTTTTTGAGAATGTGCGATTGGAAAGGTAAGATTTTACTTTAATCACTTACAAATATAACAGTGAAATATTTACATGATGTAAAATAAATCTCTGGTAATTTTTTTTAAATACTGGCAGCAAGCATAGTAATGAGTTGTATTAGTTTCGTTTTGGGGTAATAAACCGACAGATAAGATAAAATTTCTTCTGATTATTCAAGTGATTTTAAAGCTTTTCTTAAATGTCACATAGAAGTGCATTTGTTGGGAATATAGCAGAACAGTAGATATCTTTATGCTGTAGATCACGGTTGACAAATTTAAAAATAGGTTTATCTAAAATATAAACATAGAGAATATGCTTGCTGTTTTTTTCATTTCGATTCGATATTAAGCTGAATATATTTCTAATCTTTTCTTGAGAATAAAATGGTCTCTGAGGCTGCCAATAAATTTTTAAAGTACTCGGTGAAATTCATTTTGAAAAAACACATTTGTTGTAGTAAACTTTCCTTGCACTGGTAGATATTAATTGTCAATGAATTTATTTTTGGTGATTTTCAAAGCACTTGTGATGTTCATGATTTAAAAGTGTCGCTATTTGAAGTGTCACTCACTTAAACAGTCACACAGTCTCAAATACAACTTAAATAGTCTCAAATAATAGTCATAATAATAGTCTAAGAGTCAACTTAAATAGTCTCAAATAGTCACACACTTTGTGACTATTTGAGAAGTGTCACTCAAAAATTTGATTTTTAGAACCTCCATTGTATCCATCAGTTACTCTAGAATCCCTTGAGTGATTAGGCAAGTTGCAAAATTTGCTAGTGAAAAGGAAGTGCTGCTATTAATCATTTTAATTTTGAACTAATTTACGTGAGCTAAAATTAAAATTTTAGTGAGAAATATATAGTGTTAAGTGAGGGAATCGCAAGAACGGTTTAATACGCGTTAATTCTCCTAGAAAGAGATTTTAAGCATTTTCTTGACCATAACTTAAAAAAAAAAAAAAAAAAAAGACTTGCAGAAAATATTAAAAACTTGTAAAGCGTGTATTTTAAATAATTTGCTGCGTTAATTAAATATTGGAAAATTTCACGTTTGCATACATTCGTTTACCAAAATTTTCATTCGTAAAAGAATGTGTACTCTTAACAGTTAGCAGGCGCTTGCAAAAATGTTTTCTTTTAATAAAATGAATGGAAGAAGAGCTTCAGAAGTATTGTGATACAATCGTGGTCAAAATGTGTTCACATTTACGCGTTTACAAAGCAGTAGCTGTTACTTCCACGATTCACGTGCGTTTAAAAAGAAAAGCTTCGAATTATCATTAACCTGTGCATAAAGTGATAATTAAAATTTTCCTTTGAATCTTTAGATCCAGATATCACCTGTATTTAGATAGAATCTTTTGAAATTTATATTCAGTAGGAGAAATTTCTTTAATGTTGCTTTTAAAAGTATCGATACGCGAATTATCATTCGGAAATTTAATGTTGACTCCTCAAACAATGAAAATGAGAGGAAACATGTTTTTTTTTTGCAAAAAGACTAGCAACGTATTTTCTGAAATGCCAAAAAAGGGGGAAAAAAAAAGACTTCTTTGCGCTTATAAATTCATTCCTGACCTTGACGTTCCGAGGAGGTGAGCCCCTTTTTAAACACCGCGGACCCCTTACGGGTGACATTCCTCCTCCAACATTTCGTGCCCCGTCTTGAAGCGTGTGCGAAGAGGGCGGCCCACGTTTCATAAAAACTTTCTTTCGACTTTTTTTTTTTTTTGGTTATTATTTTTGGTGGGGAAAGGAAGAAAAGAAAGAGGCCATCTTACTTTTTATATGCACTCCCTCTAAACTTGCGATTATTTAGGCCATATATCTGAAAATCTGTGGAACCTACTGCATGGACTGAAAAATTATTTCAAAGTAATTTGTAGTAAACTGCAGGATCATATACAAGATGCAGTTGTTAAATGATAGTTTCGTACAGGTATGTTTTTACGTTTTAGGTATATACTGTTCTACTAAACACTAAGCCTAAATAAAAGGCAGCATTTGAAGAATTAGAAAAAAAAAAAAAAAACTGTTTATAGGAATGGCGTATACGTAGTTCGATGTATATTTCTTGGTTAACTATAGAAAACGTTGCCTTCAGCGTCTTACGTTTTAAAAAAGAAACATAATGTCGAAAACGAAGCATTTTAAGCCAAACATAAGCCATATGCTTACTCGGTATTAATCAATGCAGCAATAAATTAAATTGAATGATAGTAACATAGAAGTATACCTAAAATGGAAATTGCTGTACATGCAGATAATACTTGCTGGCTGTAAATGCGGGCTGTTTATTACCAGGTATTGATAAAATGCAATCATTCTGATATTCAATGATATGTAGGCTATTTGATGTAGTTTCATGTGCTGTAGTTTTCTTTGAGCATATTTCTACGTAAATTAAGGAGACAGATGTGCGTGCTTATTAGATATCCAATACTCAAATTTTGTGGATTTCCTTACCTTAAAATTTTCTTCCAAATAAAAGTTTAGACGTCGATCGTAAAAGAAAATAAATGTGTGGCAACTTGAGTAAAATCATTCGGTTATAGCACTCAACTAATTTAGATTTTTCTAAATATTACGCAGGATTTGAAACCATTGTTTCCGCGAATGTGAGACTAAAATATACTTTCTTTCCAAAGCTACATCTTTGCTTCACATTTACTACTACTATCCTGTCAGGCCCAAATCGTTTAATCTATTAATTAATTCTATTTCGCGCCGTATGCAAAATGTTTGCAGTAGCTTGCTGGTGGTTGCAGTGCTTGCTAATGAAATGATTGCTACATATTGTAGATTGTAGTGTTAGAAATAAAATATACTGTTTTATTAACACTGTCCTTGTTGTGAATCGAAGGCATTTCGATTTTATTGTATTCATAATCTTAAAGGTAGTTTTTCGGAGAAGCTTCCTAAGTCAGTAAAGTATCTCCGAATTAAAGAACAAGGCAGACTTCAACAGGATACACAAGTTTTAGAAATGCAGTATTTTGAGATTATTTATAAAATCCTTTTAGAAGACGGAAAGCGTATGTAGACAGAATTCGCTCTCTCTTTTCAGGTAGCTTCTGTGCCAAAAACACCAAGTCATTAAAACTGCGATTGAAAGAACACTGAATTGTAACAGAAGGTAATGTTTCTTATGGGTACTATTCTGTTATCGGGACCGGAGTCGTCGCCATATGTTTTGCTAAACTCGGCAAGACTTCGTTCATATGAAGTCGCCAATGTTTACTTCTAAAGACGTTATAATAACTTTTTAAAGAAAAAGTAAGAGAATGTCTTTTAAACAACGACAGCGAGAATGCAAATTCCAAAGATGAAGCTTGTGTTTTTTATTATTATTGTATTTACCATGGATTTGAAAATTTGGACTTGCCTAATGATGAAATATCTTCCACACAATTTCCTCGGGAATGAGGAATTATTCAGTCTGAGAAAAAGTACATGAAAAACCACAAAATGATTTTTTTTCCCTGCTTTCTTTGGCAAGTTGTTTAATTTACATTAAAAATTTTTAATTTTACGAATATCTGTTGTTATTTTTCTCGTTAATTTTTATTCATCTTAACCGTATTTTATTTATCGTAATTTAAATATTTTGGCGCTTATTTTTATGCTTCGAATTATTCGCCAGATCGTCAGCTTTTGGGGATATCTGCATCCGGTCCCGATAACAGAACAGTATCTTCTTCTGTTGATTTTCAACTCAGAAACTCGTGATAGCTGTTACCAGATTTTAAGTCATGCTTGTTGTTTATACTATAGAAGTTCTCAAACTGTGCATTGTATTGCGGCGCCCTGTTGGGTCACTTTTGTCTTTTTTGAACGATGTGGAAGTTCAGATATGTTACATGTAGATTTATCGAGCATAATTATGAATATTATGCAGTATTTGTAATATATTACGTTCAGGGCTTAATTTCTAATGTTAGAAGTGCCGGAGCCCTACGGAAGACCGTTAGGAAAGAGGAACAAGATTAAATAAAATGACTAATAAAATAATTATTAATTAATCCTTAAAATAATTATGAAAGAAATTAAATAATTAAAATTTAATAAATGTAAAGAGGTAAATTAAATAAACGATTTTTAATGTAATTTTATTACTAAAAATTTGCGAGATAAAATTTCTACTGAAATTGTTGTTCGGTCACATAAAACGAGTACTCTTTATGGAATCTTATATAGGGCGACAGTGCGGTCCGGCTAGAATTATGATTATTTCTAAAAACGAAGAAGTAATAGAGCCGGGCTACGGCGCAATTTAAGCTCTGAATTACGTTAGTGTGTGCTATTAAATAGTGCTTTATTATGTATTATTCTTGCACCTTCTTGCTTTTATTTTTTCAAGTCCGACTGATTGTTCGAATTCATTTACGATTGTATTCTTTGCTGTAAAAACAAGGTTAAGAAGAGAATCTCAGAAGATTTTGTATGACTAAAGAGAGGGGTAAAATCAGAAAATTTGCAGCTCTTGTTACTGTGTAGAACTTAAATTCGAATTTCACTTGTACAACTAATTTCATCATTTGGATTTTGTGTCGCAAGTTTTCCTAAATAGCTGTAGAATGTTGTGTCTTTATCGATCCCAAGTTCAAGGAATGAAACTATGTCGGAAACTAGATTCTTTTCCATAAAAAAAAAAAAAAAAAAATAATAATAATAAAAAAAAAAGGTATCTCTTATACTCACTAAGGATTAAGCACCGCAAGAATCGATTAAGTTGGATCACGGTGACACAAGCATCGGTAATTGGATGGCTCAGATAAAAAAGACTGGTACTAGATCGATCCGAATTACCTTCACAGAAATAGCAACGAATAGCATTTTGCAGCTTAGAAAGCAGAACTTGTGTTAGATTATGTATTAGATTTTTATGTAAGTCTTAATTTCGAAAATTAGAAGGGCCAGAGACCTATGGAAGACAGCTAGGAAAGGTGAAAAATATGTAAATAAAATAATAGTATACAAGGCGGTGAAAACG